ATATAGGTATATATATATATATATATATATATATATATATATATATATGTAGGCATATATATATATATATTTTGGGATCATTTCCACACTTATTCAAGATGATCTTCGCTCTTTTTCGCCCTTTTTAACCTTCTAACTTTCTTTCTTGGAGATCCAAGATGCCTTTCAAGATGAATTTCAAGTACGATTTCATTTTCAAGTATTTTGACTGTCATAGCTGAAATTCCTCTCTCAGGTGTCAAACGTCTTATGGATTGAGTTGGGTCTTTTCTTATTGAAAACTCTAAGTTGAAATGATGATTCCTTTTTCTCTTGTGAGCTCCTGGTGCTCCTTGAATGGACATTGAAGATACAAGTCAGGTTATGAATGTTGGTACCATTACTGAAAGCCTGAATGATCTTTATCCTGTCACCATTGCTCAGTTGGAAAGACATAGTGGGGCTGACACAAAATGATTTTAAGCTGTTCTCTTTCTAGTTAAATAGCTCAAAGGGTTTTTCAGTGATTCGCACAGCAAATGGCGTCAATATGGCTAAACGTCTTATCTGAAAACCGGCAAAAAAAAAAAACTCAGTTTAGCTTTTTTTTTTTTAGATATTAAACATCTTTTTTGGGATGGACATTTATTCCATGATGCTAAAAGATCTGGACAATTTTGCTGTTACACCCTGTACACATACACACACACATACATACATACATACATACATACATACATACATATATATATATATATATATATATATATATATATATATATATATTAAATAATTAAGAAATAGACAATCTTAAGTTTCCTTGACTATAATTTATTTCCCCAGAAAATATATTTTCCTGGATCATCAAGTCACATCTCTAGTTACAAAAGAATTAATTTTCTTTTAGTTTTAATACAATTTCTGGGGGATAGCTTTAGATTGATATAAGGTCGATGGAGGATTATAGAAATGTCCATCTTGGAAATGTAAATAGGGATAAGGTTGTTTTTTTTTAAACCATCCTTAATAATTTACTTAGGTTCAAGTGCACTGAGTTAAGAAGCCATACAATTTGCCCCCTTTTTTTAGACAGGAATGGAAAAGAAAAAAATAGAAACAAATAGTAAAGCAGGTGAGTGGGGAAAAGAGGAAGAGGAAAGAAAGAGTTAAGCAAGGTGGAGAGGGCAAAGAGAAAGAGTGTGTTATCATATGTATGCCTCTCACGGTGAAACTTGAAATGCAGATAATTTGAAAGGAACGTCAAAATAAATTATAGTTAATACATAAAGTATTAAAGCTTACCAACAAAGAAGAGATAAAATAAAATAAATTATATTAATAATATCAATCTTATATTAATAATATCAAATAATTAATTATATTAACAATATCAAATAAATATCATAATATCAAATAATTAATTATATTAATAATATCAAATATATATCAATAATATCAATCTTGATTAATACAATTGTAATGATTATAGGATAATATGTTAAAGATTATTAAAAAACAATTTAAATTTTAAAGAAGAGTATAAAAAATAATATTAATATAAAAAAAGCTTAAGATATGTATAAATTTGAACTTTAGCATTTAAAATTTAGAAATTAAAATTAAATTTAATAAATGGTAAATAAAGAATATATTAATATTAATAAAATATTCGAAATTTAATATTAATTTAATATTAATAATCTGATTACTTACTACTACTACTAAAAATAATATTATTAATCATAAAATAATAAAAAAGAATGATAATATTTAGATAAAAAAGAGTAAAAATTAAAAATAAAATATAAAGAATATAATATGTAGCTTAATAAATTTGTTTAGTAACGTTATTTTGATGAGAAATTCAGCAAAGTAAATAACTAACTATATACATGCTTATTCATACATATATCTATTCTTATACATATCTTTACATACATATAATGATGCCAAGTAAAATATACAATTATATAATGACCAATATATATATATATATATATATATATATATATATATATATATATATATATATATATATATATAATGGCTTTGTTCGATTGAAGCTTGAGTACTCTGGCAACGACCATCCTTCTTTGGACATTGTGGACTGGCGCTACAGAATCACAAAGAACTGAATAAAATAATAGAACATCTCAACAATATATTCTCGGTTATACACACATAAACCCCACGACACACACACACACACACACACACACACACACACACATATATATATATATATATATATATATATATATATATATATATATATAAAGAAATATACTCTTAAGGTGTGCTATATTTATGGGATAAAGTGCTCAATATCAGAGATAGAGCGTGTGTAAATATAAAACTGAACATTGAAGTCAAAACTTAGGGGCGACAATCTGTTTCATGCTATATGCAATCGTCTGGCCATCTGACGATTGGGTCTAGCATGAAACTGACTGTCACCTCTAAGTGTTGACTTCAATGTTCACTTTTATATATATATATTTATAAGTTGAATATATGTGCAGTAATTTGTTTTAATTCCTAACTAATTATGAATTAAATAAACTGAAGCAGACTTAAACAAAAAGTTCAATAAAAGGTCCATTTATTTAATTCTGTTTTATTCTGATAAATTTGTTTAAATTAAATTTATTTATATTTTAACTATTAATCTTGTCTTCAAGTCAATAAACACAGCATTTTAAATTTAAAGTATGCGTACATTTTTTGCGGGAAAACCTGTATAATGAATATTTTTTATAGAGTTTTTTTTTTTTTTTTTGCAAATTTAATATCAATATAACATATTGATGGATTTTAAATTTGATATTTTTTAAATCGGTGTCACTCCAAGCAATCCAGTACAACCACTAGCACACACGGTGTTAAGCGAGAAATGAGCGATAAGAAACTGTTAGCATAGAACTTGTGGCTACATCAAGCTAGCTCAACTGTACATTGATGAGATCTCGACGCCAGCCAAGTATTGAGCTTATATTCATGAAGTCTAGGTACCATAGCGAAGAGCTCATCCGAACAAATACCATGAAAGTATTTATAGAAAAGACACAGGGAGGCGACCTTACAGCGGTGGGAAAGTGACTGAATCCGAGCTGCCAGATCAGGACCAATAATATTGCTGATTCTTGTTTAGATCTTATCAAGGAGCTTCAGGTAAATATGAGAGACACCGTACGTTATATGGCAGCAATATTCTAAACTCTGACGAATGGTAGATTTATAGATATGAAAGAAAGATTTCGGAGAGAAGGAAATAAAAAAAAAGAAAGAAAGAATATAAGAAACACGACTGAGCATGGTATGGGGTCAAGAAAATGGAGGTGAAAAACGACATGATAAGAAAGAAAAGAAGAATGAGAAAGAAAACAGAAATGAGTATGCGAAAGAAAGGAAGACTATTTACGGAAAGGAGATAAAGAAAGACAAGCAGGCTGAAAGAAAGAAAGAAAGAAAGAAAGAAAGAAAGAAAGAAAGAGAAACACAAAGAAAGAAAGGAAGGAAGAAAAAAGAAAAGAAAAAAGAAACAGACCGGAATAGATATAAAAGAGAAAAGAATAAATGAATTAAAAGAAAGAAAGAAAGAAAGAAAGAAAGAAAGAAAGAATAAAAGAAAGAAAGAAAGAAAGCATAAAAGAAAGAAAGAAAGAAAGCATAAAAGAAAGAAATGCTGGGAGAAAGAAAGAAAGAAAGGCAGAAAGGTTACTTGATATAAAAGGGAAAGAAAGGAAGATTTGAATTAAATGAAAGAAAGAAAGAAAAGAAAGAAAGAAAGAAAGAAAGAGTACATGTACGGAATAAATAGAGGCGTATATTAAAAGAAAGGAAGGAAAAAGTAAGAAAGAAAGTGAGAGAGACAGGGAGAAACAAAGAAAGAACGGAAGGAAGAAAAAAAAACGAAATGGATATAAAAGAGAAGGAAAATAATATATGAATTAAATGAAAGAAAGAAAGAAAATCCGATAAGAAAGAAACGAAAGAAGAAAAAAAAGAAAGGTACAAGAACAAATATAAGAGAGAATAAAACAATGAAAGAAGAAAAACGGAATGGATCAAAGAAAGAAAGAAAAGTTGATACGGAATCAGCGGAAAAAAAAGCAGAATTAAAGATAGATCGAAAGAAGGAAGTAAAAACATGATGATAAGAAAGAAAAGATGATATGAAGTAAAAGAAAGAAAAAAAAAAGAAAGGCCAAAAAGAAATTAAAAAAAATATGTGTGTGTGTGAGAGAGAGAGAGAGAGAGAGAGAGAGAGAGAGAGAGAGAGAGAGAGAGAGAGAGAGAGGCTAGAAAATGACCATTGTCATGACTGGTGCCAAGGAGTCACGCTCACTATTCACAGGTGTTTCAATTAGCGTGAGCTGTCACGTGACCAGAATAAAAATCCTTAAAAGGGAATGTCTTAGACATGGACAAAAATTCTTTTCAACACAAACCGGACTGATATGTGTGTGTGTGTGTGTGTGTGTGTGTGTGTGTGTGTGTGAGAGAGAGAGAGAGACAGACAGACAGACAGCGAAAGAAAGACAGAGAGAGAGAGATAGAGAGTGAGAGAGAATGTGTGTGAGAGAGAGAGAGAGAGAGAGCGAGAGAGAGAGGGGGTGCGGCGCCAACGGAAGTTATTTTATTTTAAGACTAAATAAATGCGCGCATTAAAGAGACTTGTTATAACGTCATTATTTCGCCTTTGAAGCTCGGGTTCGAAATTGTGACGGAGCTGACTTCTTGATAAGAAGTAATTGGCGAAGACCCTGAAAACCCATACCATCCGTTGACAAAACCGTTGTGGGTGTGACAGTTTAGACAAAAAGTATTCATGTGCTGTGGTTGGTTATATCTAGCACGAAGTAAAAAATCAGCGTGACCGAGAGTTTGAACGTATCGGCCTTCCCTAAGTAATGATCACGACAGATTATGTCCTCTTTCAAGGTCTGCTCTGAGCTGGTGCTTCCAATAGGGATTATCTAGCCACTCTAGTAGATTCCAGAGTCTTCCGAGACAGACGGATGTCTGTTACGTATATTGTGCGTGCGTATATGTCTGCTTACGTCTCGTTGTGTCAATGTATGACTGGGTGCATTTTAAAAAAAAATTACCAGTTTCTTAATTTGACATTCATAATCTTGTAGATTAATTCTTTCTGAATCAAAGGACAATTTGGGGATTGAGGTGGTATGAAATGCAGTACAGGACAATATATCGGTTGAATTTAAATCGCTCCCAAAAGTATAATTAATCAGCCATTGTTTCATGATTGCACAAATCAGAAAGTCCAATGATAGACTTCGGACAATTTTGGACGGCACCAAATCTAGATGAGAATAAAAAGCGGAATAAGTAAGATACGCAGATGACACAGTAGTGATGAGAGACACAGAAAAGAAATTACAAGACCTCCTACAGAAGGTAGCAAAGGAGAGCGAGAAGAATGGACTAAGCATAAACTACAAGAAGACAGAATACATGGTCATCAATAAGTGTAAGAGCCCGAAATGCGATTTACAGGTTGGGGACACTAGAATCAAGTAGGTGCGCAAGTTTAAATATCAGGGAAGTGTTTTGACAGAGGAGGGCAAGTGCGACACTGAGATCCATAGACGTATTCGGATGGCCAAAGAAGCATTCCAAAAGCTGGGCAGAGTATTGCGAGACAAGAGGATCTCTTTGGTAACAAAGAAAAGAATACTGAACTGTTACACGACATCTTTCCTCCTTTACATCTGCCTCCAATATCGGACGCTATCCTCAAAGATGAAGAAACTCGAGGCGACGGAGATGTCGTTCTACAGAAGGATGCTGAGGATACCATGGACCGAGCGTGTGAGCAACGATGAGGTCTTGGAGAGGATACAAACAAGTAGGAGGCTTATACTTTACATCAGGAAGCAGCAGCTGAAGTTTCTGGGACACGTAATGAGAAAGGAGGGCCAGGAGAATCTGATACTCACGGGTCGAATAGAGGGAGAAAGAGACAAGGGAAAGCAATGCATGACATACCTGGAGGGCCTAAGCAAGTGGGTGACAGAACGTGGTCTGGGGGAGGTGGCAGACGGACGAAACTTATTGAGAGCTGCAAGGGATAGGAGGATGTGGAGAGCCATGATCGCCTACGTCCATAAAAAGAAACAACGACTGTAACATTCGTTTTCTGTTCCTTTTACAACTTTCTTTTTCTTTTACTTCTCTTTACGATCCTTCATTTTTCTTTCCTTTTTTATTCTTTTTCAGTTTTTTTTTCTCTGCTTCCTTTTTTTCTTTTTTCTTTTTTTATTTTCCTCGTTTTTCTTCTTACTTCCTTTTTCTTTCCTTTTAATATTCTCCATTTTTTCTTTTTTAATCTATTTTTTTCTTTTTCTGCTTCGTTTTTTTCTCATTCTTCCGATTTTCTTTTTCTTTCCTTTTAATATTCTTCATTTTTCTTCCTTTTTTTTAAATCTGTTTCTTTCGCTTTCTTTGTTTTGTTTTTATTCCTTATATTTCTTTTAATATTCTTCATTTACTTTCCTTTTTTTTACTCCATTTTTCTTTTTATTTCTTTGTTTTTTCTTCTCTGTTCCTTTTTTCTTTCCTTTTAATATTCTTCCTTTTTATCCCTTTTTTTAAATCTGTGTCTTTTTCTTTCCTTTTTTCGTTTTCTTTGTCTTTTCTTATTCACTGATATCTTTCTATTTCCTTTTACAATTTTTCATTTTTCTTATCTGTATATGGGGTCTGCGAAAAACATAGTCCACGAGAAAATCCGATACGACAAGTGAAGATTGTTTTTTTAAAATAGTAAATTTTGGCCAAATGATACATAATATCGGTCCTCCTATATGGAAAAGAATTGAAGCAATCAAAATGTGGTTCTACACAAGGATGCTGAGAATACTCTGGACCGAATATATAAGCAACAACGCAGTTTTAGAGGAAACTGAAACAAAAAAAGGACACTTATACTTAACATCGAAAATAGGCAGTTAAAATTTCTAGAGTACTTATGAGAAAAGAAGACTTTAAAAATTCGATACTCACAGGTAACATTAAAGGCAAGAATTAAAAATGAAAACACCGTATATGCTACCTAGGGAGCTTGGTAAATGGTAGAACAGGGTTTGAAGTAGAGATAACAAGAAGGCAACATTTATTTCTCGTTACAAAGGACAGGATATTGTGGAGAGCCATGATCGCTAACGTCCTGAAGAGACACCGCACATAGAAGAAAATGAGCTAGTGGAATCCCCATGGTACACATAGGCAAGGCCTTCGATCCGAGGACTGGCCACCGAGTCCCGTTACTCGATGCGGGTGATGGTGGCATTTCATAGGCATCGTTTATCATTGTAGATAACGTGAACTTGGTCTGGATGCCTGTAGAGACCGCATTGGGGCTTGGACACCTCCCAATGGCACCCTACATTTACAAGAAGCCGGTTACCTACGAGTCAATGAGAGTGATGTCTAACGCAAAGAGTATTCCGTGTGTTCTCACCCACTACCTTGCTAATATTCTAGATACATTGGCTCATGTCGTATAACAAGAGTGACAAATTACAGGAAGGTTTGATGCGTCCTGATCGCCAAAGTTCTAAACGGATGGAGAATCATTTTCCTGTGTTCATTGTAAGATGGAGAATAATTTTCCTGTGTTCATTGTAAAATAAGCGACTGATCGCTTACGAAAGATTCAGTTTTGTACAAGCCTAAATCACAAACCGACTGTACTTAGGTTGACCTCTTCACAGCATAATGGTTAAATTGATCACATTAACTCTGATCAAATAAACCCTTTAGAAAAAAAAAGGCGGCGGTTGGCATGAGGACCCGACACTAACCAGTGTGGCCTGTGAGGTGTTTTCAGTTCTGTTGAAGCATGACTTTGTGGAATCGCGCAGGGATTCCACCTACTTTTACGTGCGCGCGCGTATTGCACCCCTTCCTTTCATGTTCGGCTGTTTTTTTTTTTGGTTCATCAGAATAAAATCAACGACTTATCGCATTGGAAAAATTCAAAATTCTTCAAGCCTGAATTTCTTTAACCAATATTTCCCTGTCTTTGTATCTAATTAATATTATTAACTCTCACTATCCCTCTTTCTATATACGAGGTCTGAACAAAAAGTATCGAGGTTGGTGATAAAAACAGAAAACTATAAAACATATCAATTTGGCATTTATTCTCCTCGTCGTCTGAATCGACACACATTATTCAGCGTCGTTTCAAATGATGGAAGTATTTCTGGAACTCATTTTTGGGATACTGTCTCGTTTCATTCTTTTCAATTGACTTGACGTCTTGAAATCGTGTCCTTTTTCCCGTGGGATTTGATTTATACAAAGAGGAAAAATGTTCCAAGTGGTGATATCTGGGGAATATGGTAAGTGTTGGATCTGGATAATGTTGTCGTGGCCGAAAACTGCCCCACAAGCTTCGCTGAATAATATATATTCATGGGAGAACATGCAATTCTGTCCTTTTTCACACGGAAATCAACAAGCAAATGCCACAGATTTGGAGAAACTTGGTTCGCCGTGACATACTAGCAAGTTTTATGAATAAGAGTTAATGTTCAAGGTAAGCATGAAGCCAAAACATTCATTTTGTAAGCATTAAGATCTTTCTTAGATTTTAACAAATCCGCACACTAAATCTGAAGAAGCAAATGGAAATATATTTCTTCATAAAAAAAAGAAGTAAAAAAAAAAAAAAAGGTTACATAGAATTATTGAATTAAGGAAAGGGATGGATCAATAAACATGATCTCCAATCGAATTTCTGAGGTGGCGCATGAGCTTGATTACAAAAAAAACTATAAAAGAAGGTCAGTGATAATAATAAATGCATTTACACAAATCTAGATTACCAAAATAAACGAGATAATTAAAAAAGCTAGAACATGTAAATCTCTAAATGAACCTTGCTTCTCATGCTTACATGAGAAACTAGAAACTATCTGATTTACTGGCAAAAAATGTCTATTAAATCAAAGAAGTGAAATAACTATAAATTGCCGACACAGTTTATCTTTTACAGTATAGTTAAATTTTTAAAATTAGTAGTATTATCGCCTTAATTTATAAGTAAATAGCACTCCACTCCTTTTTTAATTTTTTAAATAAGTGCCAATGTTCAAGGTAAGCATGAAACCAAAACATTCATTTTGTAAGCATTTAGATCGTTCTTAGATTTTAAAGCTTCAAATAAATACACAGAGAAAAAGTGAAATGAGCATTTGTGTCATTTCAAGGAATACTGTAAAAGGAAAGCAATCAATAACAAATCCACATACAAAAATCCGAGGCTGCAAATAGAAAGGCATGTCTTTATTAAAAAAACAAAAACAAGAAAAACAAAAACAAACAAAAAAAAAAAAAAACAGGTTACATATAATTATTGAATTAAGGAAAGGGGCGGATCAATAAACAGGATCTCTACCCTAAACTGTAAAACGAAAAATAATAAAAATAAATACATTTATACAAAGTTAGATGACCAAAGTATACAAGGTAATTGGAATAATATGTCAGTAATCAAGCAATTGATATAAGTGAAACATTTAAAACAGACCAACACAAAATATCGCCCAGTGTGGCACACAAGGGATTTTTTTCAAAATAGTCAAGTTCTTGTGTTCATCAGAATAAATTCAAAGACTGATAACCTACAAGAGATTCAGTTCTGTTGAAGCATGACTTTGTGGAACCGCGCAGGGATTCCACCTACTTTTACGTGCGCGCGCGTATTGCACCCCTTTCTTTCACTTCGGCTAGATATAGTAGGAAACATCCGTCTGCTGCCGACGTGAGGAAGCTGCTGGCTGCTGCTGATTCCAGCTAGACCAGAATTTGAAGTTTTCCCGCGCATTCTCTGACGTAACCGACAAACAGTGTTTTTCAAATCAGTCGCTGCCAGGTCTCCGAGGGAAAAGGTCGACTCATTTATTTCGCGCCCCTTACCCATACGCGGGCCGAAATAACTTAACTACAAAAATTTCCTAGTAAACTCCTTGGCTCATCTTGCCGAATCTCTTCATGTGTTTGCAACTTTCTGCGAACAACTTGTTTGAACTTTCCCCCGTTTTCTACCAGAGAATGTAGAGTTTACAACACCGTCGCCATCACACTTTTACAATGACTAATTCCTCGTCCTGACGCGAACAACTTGTTCGAACTTTCCTCCGTTCACTACCTGGGAACGTAGAGTTTTTTCGACACGGATTTGATAAATTTCACATACACGTTTTGAACTCTAACCTTGCGAACCAGTTTTAAAAAGAAAGAAAAAAAATCACATTACACATACATGACAAAAATCTCGCAGTGAGTATTTTCCTTGTTGTGTATGCACGTACCTTTTGTATAAGAAGACTCTGTTCCAGAATTTTCCTTCTGAGGGAACCTTTCCCGCCTTAGCCATTTTGATTTTCGTTTTGGCGCGGAACATTAACATTCTTTTACTGACTACTTATCACTACCTTATACAACTTGCCTACTTGCTAAGAACTAGTTTTACTTTTCTGATAGTCTCCACTGTTTGAGACCAAATACTTTTTATTAAATAAAGTTTATATTTGTTTTCCACCAGACTCGTTTTCGTCGTTACTCCTGACTATCTATTTTTCTACCTTTTTTATGCATGTGTTGAATGACCCTATTTCCTCACTAAGGAGACTGTAAAAATTCTACGGTCAAAAATTATTATTTATTTATTATTTTTACTTATTCCTTTTTTTACTTTGCTAGTGAATTCGGTAGTCGTAGTAGTGTCTGGCACAAGGCCACCTTTTCGTAGGCCAGCACTGTATAGTACCGGGTCTGCTAACAACTTTATTCACCAAATATTCCACTGCCTTTGTATCTAATTAGTTCTTTTAATTTTCTGTAGAAAAAAGAAAAAAAAAAGAAGAAATAATTTTCTCGCCACGCCCTCTGTATGTATTTAGTTTTTTCTACCTCTTTTTACACTAATTAAATTAATTACTTTACAGCCAATATTATGCGATCAGTTTCGCCTTTCATAATTTTAATTGTTATAGTCTGCTATATTTTCTATTTTTTACAATGATATTCACCCTGTACAAGTGTTGAAACTTGACTAATGCATGGAATAATAATGCAACACAAAATGTACTTAGAACAAAATGTATTGAAACAAGAAAGTGTACACAATATTTACATATAGTCTTTTGTATATTCCTGGTAAGACCGTTCCTGGAGAATGTGTTGACTGAGGCGCAGTCGGCAAGAGTCTCTGGTTGAATCTCTTGATTCACTCTCTCTCTCTTCCCGGTACCAACCATATTTATATGGTCGGTACTCCACTATGCAAATTAGGTGGATCCTACCACAACACTTACAAATGACAATGTCAATGGATTGCAGTATACACGATGTCCATAAAGTCACTTTACAATTTGAAAAAAATATATAACAAAGGTAACTAATGAGATATCTTAATCAGATTTGTTCAGTGTACTAAGTCGATAACAAAGTTTTTGATCAAATTACATTTGTGTATTTCAGGTATCCTGTTGACAGAAGAGATGCTGTTAAATGAACCCCTGACTTTTCCAGACCGTTGGTTTGAAAGTGATAGCTCAATTCCTTGGCCAGCCCGTTCGCCAGATATCACTCCCCTGGACTTCTTTCTAAGGGATTATGTTAAAGATATCGTGTATCGAGCAAAGATACGGGACATCATTGATCTAAAACGAACGATCACTGATGCCATTGCCACCATCGATGAGGCTATTTTATAGCGAACATGGCAAGAAATCGAGTACCTTTTTGATGTGCTACATGCATCTAATGATGGCTCTGGTTGAATCTCTTGATTCCTCTCTCTCTTCCCGGTACCAACCATATTTATATGGTCGGTACTCCACTATGCAAATTAGGTTGATCCTAGCACAACAACAAGGCATAAGAGCCAGTCTAGGTAGAGGATTACAGAGCAAGAGGAACAGTTTAGAGGGATATGTGGGGAAGATAACGAGTAACCCTAAACTTGAATAGGTTAAGATATTGAGGAACGGGGGGGCATCTTCTTGGGAGTCAGTTCCACAATCAGGTAGAGGGTTACATAGTGCGAGGCACTGTTTATGGGAATATATGGACTTGAACAGGTTAATATTGTAGTGATCGGGAAGGCATCAAATTGGGAGTCGGTTCCACAAAGTAGGTAGAGGCTTACACAGTAATAGGCACTGTTTAGAGGGATATGTGGGAAAGATAACGAGTAACAATGGACTTGAACAGGTTAAGCTTGTAGGGATCGGGGAAGCATCCTCTTGGGAGTCGGTTTCAGAAAGCAGGGAGATGGTTATAGACTAAGAGACACTTTATGGGGATATGTAGTGAAGATAACGGTTAACACTAGAGTTGAACAGGTTAGGATTCTAGGGGTCGTGGAAGCATCCTCTTGGGAGTCGCTTTCAGAAAGCAGCGGTTCATGGGAGGTAGCTGTTCGAGTGGAACTCACCAATGGAACCGGAAGGTAATGAAGGTAGTTCGCTACAATGTGCGCGCCATGGCGAGTCTTAGCTTTGGAGGTTAGAACTGATGGAACTAAGGAATGTAGTATTTACATTAGTCGGACTATTGTCCTCATCTTTGTCGCCATATTTGTCACAACGTTTCGGCCGTTGTACGCTTCGGCCTTCTTCAGGTGGTTGGAATTTCGAACTGAACCCTTTATTTCGATCACTGGGGTAGACTGTTCTAGTTCCACGTGCCATGTTTTTGATGGATGTCAGTTATCAGTTATCTCCTGCTAATTTTCCCTCTGAATGTTCTCCACTGCCTTAACCAGGTATTGAACTCACCTCACCGTCAAACGTTGTGACAAATATGGCGACAAAGATGAGGACAATAGTCCGACTAATGTAAATACTGTACATAATACCTCATCTCAGAAATATAGACAGACTCTAAGGAATGTAGTTCGTCTGAGCACTTCTCATGGAAATAACGATAGAGCAGCGAGACGTTTTCGATGTTCCGTCTGTGAGAAAAGTTCTACCATATTATCCATTAAAACCTCAATGTCATACATATATTTCACTAAAATATTCAACTCCTCATAATATTAAAGAATAAAATGACCCGGATGTTTAGCCATTGTACGTCCTTTTTAATTTCCATTTCAAAACTTATTTTCAAATTTTGGGGGAAAGGTGTAACATGATTAAAGCATGGCTTTAACCTCTGGACTTTTGATTTTAAAGCACTCTCAAGCGTTCAGATTTTCTCGAAATTTCTAAAGAATATGATAATCTCAGCATCCGTCTGTAGAACCACATTTCTGTTGCTTCACTTAAAAATATGTGACAAGGAAAATCGATGATAAAAACACGTTAGGCTTATATTCGAGGTAAATTTTTTTTTTCCGATTTTCACTAACTTCAATATCTACGTAAAAGAAACAACCGAAAATATATGGAGTAGTTGCTTTAGATTTTAGAAGTATTTTACGGAAAATCTTTAGTACATACAGTCTTTATATGCATTTTCATATCTCCCTGTTAATAAGATTGTAATGATTCGGGAAGTATCCACTTGGGAGTCGGTTCCTCAAAGGTTCGTGGGAAGAAGTTGCTCGAGTGAATGGAATACGGAGGGAATGAGGGCGGTTCATTACAATGGGCGTGGCAGGGCGGGTCTTAGCCCTGGTGGAACTAAGAAATGTAGTTCGTCTGAGCACTTTCCATGGAAATAGCGATATGACAGCGAGGGGCTTGCGACGTCACGGTATTAGCGATAGAGCTGTGAATGGAGTTACTGTCAATTACTTTGTTTTTAATAACTAAGAAATACGCCTTTCTCGGTGCTTGACCATTCTTAAAGACCAATATTTTCCTCGCTTGGCACCGACGTACCAGTTCTTCAAGACAGTACCTCCCTATTGCGCTTAAAACCTCGAAGTCCAGGTTAAATGGGCTCACAAACACATCGCCTTCAAACATCAGTTCCTGTACGACCACTGAAGTTAACCATCTGGTCAGTACCTAGATGGGAAACCGCTTGGGCATACCAGTTAATGTAAGCTTGGGTGTGCAGGTGGTGTAATGGATAATGGCACGGAATTGTTAATTACAGAGATGTATCGCAATTTTCGTTGTTTTTTTTATTCCGTTACAAATACCTTCAACCCCAGATATGGGTTACATTGTAAGACTTCTATCACTAAACAATTTTTATTTAAAAAAAATATTATTACAATCTACAAATGCCTTCTGGCTTTAAATAACATGTAAATTGTTGATGTCCCGTAAAAACGAATCAATCAATCAATCAGAAATTAGATTTATATGTTTCTATATACATATCAATTAATTTTATTATGCTTATGTCTGTCTGTCTGTCTATCTATCTATCTATCTATCTATCTATCTATCTATCTATCTAATTTTACTGATATCTAAGTTTACTCATATCTATCTATCTATTTATCTATCTATCTATCTATCTATCTAATTTTACTGATATCTATCTAAGTTTACTCATATCTATCTATCTATCTATCTATCTATCTATCTAATTTTACTGATATCTATCTAAGTTTACTCACATCTATCTATCTATCTATCTATCTATCTATCTTATCTATCTAATTTTACTGATATCTATCTAAGTTTACTCATATCTATCTATCTATCTATCTATCTATCTATCTATCTATCTATCTAATTTTACTGATATCTATCTAAGTTTACTCACATCTATCTATCTATCTATCTATCTATCTAATTTTACTGATATCTATCTAAGTTTACTCACATCTATCTATCTATCTATCTATCTATCTAATTTTACTGATATCTATCTAGGTTTACTCATATCTATCTATCTATCTATCTATCTATCTATCTATCTAATTTTACTGATATCTATCTAAGTTTACTCATGTCTATCTATCTATCTATCTATCTATCTATCTATCTATCTATCTATCTATCTAATTTTACTGATATCTATCTAAGTTTACTCATATCTATCTATCTATCTATCTAATTTTACTGATATCTATCTAAGTTTACTCATGTCTATCTATCTATCTATCTATCTATCTATCTATTTTACTAGTTTACTGATATCTATCGGCGGATAGCAGCTCTCATTGATGAATCGGAGAGCCGAGTTCGAATTCCAGTCGAATCGATTTCATTCACTTACATGCTAATACCCTTGGGAAAGGTATGAATCCTCCTCTTCTTCCCCCAGCTATGGGTAAATAGCAGGATAGACCGGGTTCTATAGCCTTGGATAGCAACTAGTCTACCGTAGAAAGAAATGGCAACCTACTACGGGAAAAAATATCTGCCTCGTCAGTCATGTATCGAAAGATACATGATCGCCTATGCGTAACTGACTGAATCTATCTATCTATCTATCTATCTATCTATCTATCTATCTATCTATCTATCTCAGTGAGAGTAAATTCTATTAAACCTCGCAAAATAACGTTATTTACTTGTGTCAAGTCTTGGTAGTTACACGTTAAATTTCCGAGTTAAGTAATTTTTTTTTTATCTTGGATATACATTTCAATGGGAATTTGATTTCCGATTAGCAAATCACGTTTAGTTATAGATTTCCATGAATATTGCAAAAGATGTGGGTACAAAATGCGTCAGTCACGAAAATACTTTTTCGGCTTTACAAGAAAAATATGTTTCTTAATCTTCATATTTGTGTCTATCTTGATGGCTGACTTCGATTAGATATAATCGGCAAAACTAGTAAAAAAAGAAAGAAAAACTCGATGTTGTTGTTGTTGTTGTTGCTGTTGTTGTTGTTGTTGTTCTTCTTCTTCTTCTTCTTATTATTATTATTATTATTTATGCTTTTGCTTCAGAATAAAAAAAATCGTGACCTTAAAGAAAATGATTTGAGTCATTTCCCTGTACTATCTGGCGACGTAAAAGAAAGAGCAAAAGAGAGTGAACGGTGGAAAGAGAGAAGAGAGAGAATGCGAGAGAGAGAGAGAGAGAGAGAGAGAGAGGAGAGAGAGAGAGAGAGAGTGCGGGAGAGAAAGAAATAGAGAGAAAAAAATGAAATAAAGAAAGCCATAAAGAAAATGAGAAAGAAGGAGATATTGAAAGAAAGAAAGAAAGAAAGAAAGAAAGAAAGAACGAGAAAAGGAGAAAGAAAGAGAGAGAAATACGGGAAAAAGAAAAAGAAAGAGAAAAGGAGAGAAAGAAAGAAAGAAATAGAGAAAGAAAGAAAAAAGAGAGCAATGAAAGATAGAGTGAAATGAAAGAAATAGGGCTATAAATAGGAGAAAGAGAGAATGAAAAAGAAGTGATAGTGAAAGAGAGAGAAAATGAGAGAAAAAGAAATAGTGAGAGCAATAGAATGAGAAGAGTGAGAGAAAAGAGAGAGAGAATGAGAGAAAGAGTAAAATAAAGAGAGAAGAGTAAAATAAAGAGAGAAGAGTAAAATAAAGAGAGAAGATTGAAAGAAAGAAAGATAGATAGAAAGAAAGAGCAGCAGAAAGGGAGAAAGAGCAAAAGAAACAAAAAAGAGAAGAGTGGGAGAATAAAAGAAAGTAAGAAAAAAGAGTAAATAGAGTAAAGGCGAAAGAAAGAAAGGAACAGAGAGAAAGAAAGCGAGAGAGGAAAAGAAAGAAAGAAAGCCAGGGATAAAAATAGCTAATGCGATGGAGAGAGTGAAAAAAAAAGAAATAAATAAAACATGACAAATGAAAGAGACACAAGAAAAGAAATGTGAAAGTGAGAGATAATAAATGAAAGGAAAAAAGGAAGAAAAAAATAAAAAAAAAAGAAAGAAAAAGACCGAGGAAGAAAAACAAAGAAAAGTGAACGAGAAAGAAAGAACTAAAGAAAGAAAGAAAAACGGGAAGTAAATATGGATTCCTATCTTTCCCCAAGGGTATTAGGATTTGAGTGAATGTAATGAACTCGATTGGAGTTCAAACACAAGTTTCTGTGGCTTCGAGACTGTCTTTCATCATGGAGAAGATTACCCAGAGAACTGATACTAAGTTTTTTTTGTTTTTTATCTTTCTAACGACATTTTTATGTTTCTTAATATTTTGCTTATATATTTTACAGGTGGTTTGAATTCAGAATATCCTTCTCCTAGACTGGTTGGCACCTAAAGCTATGACATTCTATCCATAGCTGGAGATAGAAAATATAGATTCCTTCCTTCCCAAGTGAATTTAATGAACTCGACTGGAATTCAAAAACACGTTTCTGTGGCTTCGAGACTGTTTTCATCATGGAGAAGATTACCCAGAGAACTGATACTAAGTTTTTTTTTCATCTTTCTAACGACATTTTTATGTTTCTTAATATTTTGCTTATATATTTTACAGGTGGTTTGAATTCAGAATATCCTTCTCCTAGACTGGTTGGCACCTAAAGCTATAACATTCTACCCATAGCTGGAGATAGAAAATATAGATACGTTCCTTTCCCAAGTGAATTTAATGAACTCGATTGGAATCCGATCTCGACTCTCCGATCTCTCCACCGTGCCGCCATTTTAATATGTTAAGGATAGGATATTTAAATCATTCAAAAACAGTATTTATTTTTTCAACTCGTACCGCTGTACATCTTGAGATTCTTGACAAAATCCAAAGAAGGATCTGCAATATAATCGATCCTGACCTGGCATCTCGACTTCAGTCACTTTCTCACCGACATGACGTGGTTTCCCTCTGTCTTTTCTTCACAATTTTCATGGGCATATGCACTGATGAACTTTTTTCCCTGGTGCCCCGACTGCATGAATTTATGCGCGCTACTAGATTGGCAACTAGGTCTCACCGTTTTAGTGTTGAACTACATAAATGCAACCGCCACTTCCATTCCAACAGTTGCTTTTCTCGCACTTCCCACTTGTAGAACTCTCTTCCGTTTATGTGCTTCCCTGCAATCTTCAAAACTCTAAATGCAACGTCAATGGACAACTACTGACTTCTTGAACCGTGTTCCTTTTTTATCCTTTCCTCAAGCCGTCCATTATCAATCTTCTCATTCTCTTTCCCTGTAACCGCTTGCGTACTAGTAGCATTATCGCCTTGTTTGCGATGAAATGATTAAAAAAAACCATATGAGCAGCGATTTACTAAACGTACGACCGACAGTATGGATCGAACTCACTACTGAGTCGTAATTGATCAAAGGGGATAATCTTGCTAACCATTACACCACGTCGAACTACATCGGTTAAGTAAGCGATGCTTAAATGTGACGCAAGGCTGAAAATATGGAGCACCTTGTGTGGATAAAACTCACTACTCAGTAGGCAGTGATCTAGAGATACAAGTTTTCTTAGAATTACATCCCGTTGAAGTCCTCTTAAACTGTGATTTCCTCAGAGCATGTTATAAAATGGCGAAAGTTTGAAGCCCCCATTGAAGACGGAACTCACTACTCAGTCGTAAACTTAGCTGGCTCTTAGCTTTTTATATACACTACAAACGAACAGCCTTTGCGACGTAAGTGATAATACTGACATAACCATTTTTAAATCCATATTTTAATAAATACTAGCAGTAAGAGCCCGGCGTTGCCCGGGGATATAACAGTAAGAGATAGATCAAGTATCGACCATCATAAAGACTGAAAAATAAAATTGACAAAGATTATTGTTTAAAGTTGACGGACACGCATGTTTTAATTAGTTTTTTTTTTTTTTTTTTTTTTTACGAATTGGCCAAACCCAAACTCAAACAAAAACATTGTTTTCAATCGTTATGAGTCTCCCAATTGAATAGAATTTTATTATAAATAATTGTCTTGTAAATGGAATTTTTAAAGCATTCTGAATGTTAAAAATAAAGAAAAAAGTGTGTAAGAGAATAAAAAACACTACCTGCCAAAAAAAAAAAAAGTGAAGTTTTGTTTTATCGGCTGAAAAATATAGGAAATCCGCTCCCATATTTAAAGGAAGCCACACACACAAACAATCCGATGTGAGTTGTCCCCCTTCCATTTTCACGATGTCTCTTAATCGTGTTTTCAAATTGATTTTGTGCAAAAACAATTATATTTTTCCCATTTTTGGCGCTGTTAGAACCACCACAAGGTAATTTTATGTAGTCCTGTGAAGTTTTGTTGAAATCGGTTGAAAAATGTAGGAAATCCGATCCAATATATAAACGTTACACACACACACACACACACACACACACACACACAATCTGCGTTTTATAATAAGTAAGATATAATCTGTATTATTTATTTTTCAAACAAATTTTAATAATTACCTCTCAGAAGCAATGTTTCTCTCGATGATTTAAAAAAAAAGATATCATTGTATTTGCATTAAAAAACTTCAAATCAGTCGTAACCAGAAAATCTTACCAGAATGTCCACGTTTAAAGAAAACTTAAAATTCGATTATAATTGTGCCTGTTACGTTTTGTCAATACCTCATAAATAATGGATTATTCTGCGTTTTGATCGAGTGGAAATGGAGGTAAATAAATTACTTTGTTTCAGTGAAAGAAAGGAAAGAAGCATGAATAATAAAAGTAGAGAGAGAGAGAGAGAGAATCCGATGAAGCGGATAGGAACAGATACCACACTTTGATCTAAACCAAAAGACCGAGAAGATGTTATTTTTTCAGTTTGAGTTTATTCAATCATTAACTGAAGAATTAAGATTCATCAGCAAATTTAAATAGAAAATGCGTGAAATTACCACGGGTCTTTCTAGTTTTGTTAAAGTTGTTAATCTCAAATATTTAAAGATGCAATGGGGAAATTTCTATGGATATTTTATTGTCGTAGAACTCGCCATGTGCTTATTCAAACATTAACTTAAGACCTAAGAATTTAGTTTCATAAGAAAATTTAAATAGGAAAAAAACCGTGAAATTTTTTCTAGTATATATAATCTGACATAGAGTGGGGCACATCGAGGCGGTGTAATGGTTAGCAAGCTTGTCTTGCTAGGATAATTACCACTGAGTAGTGAGTTCGATTCTCACTGGGTGTTCCC